CCCCAAAACCCCAAAACCCCAAAACCCCAAAACCCCAAAACCCCAAAACCCCAATTGAACATTTGAGCATTGAAAAGAAGAATTTATGCTTACAGTTATAATCTTATTTAATTTTAATGTTCTCAATTAATCCTTGTGATAAATACTTCAGTGATGAACACTCAAATCTTAACTTCTTCACTGAAGACCTTGGTTTTGAGTACGAACAGAACATTGATCTCTCCGAGCACCATGATCTCTTCGATCATAAGAGTCCTGAGCTCAAGGGCAACATGCAGAGCATCTCTGGAGATCAGGCTCAGTGAGACAACATTAGCATTAAAGGAGTTCCTGAAGAAGTTAACGAGCCTCAGGGGTGTGACTTATCAACGAGCAAAAGTATAAAGAAGTCAGACCCAGTAAACATGTCTATCCAAGAAATTATTGATGCTACCGAAATGAACACTCCTGAGGTTGATGTTACCCATCTCACCTCTCCAGACTGTAAGGCCAGGAGGAAGAAGAGGAGCAACCTTAGTAACACCAGAAGGAGGAGAAAGGACATTATCTTTAAGTCCATCTTGAGAAGATGTAGGAAATACTTCCAATCAGAGTTTAACAATTTCTGAAATTACTCAAGAGTCAAAAAGAGGAGATCTCGTACTTTTTTTTTCGAACAGATTACAAAGTTCTATGTGCATATGTTCCAAGAGGAGTGTCCTGACCTTCTTATTTTCTCGGCGTTCTTGAACTCTAAGGATACTATTAAGACAATTGATCTATACACCTCAGAGGAAAGTGAGATAGAGTCAAAGAAACAACAAGTGAGAAAGATTCATGACATTCTGTATAAATTTACCCATGAAAAGATGGGGGTTTTCTTCGAGTACTCTCTTCTGAACTTCCTCTTCAAAAAGTTCGTGGAAGTAGAGAAAGAGTCGCTCCCAAAGGGGTACATGCAGCAGCTTGAAACAATGCAGACCCTCCTTTAATTATTCAAATTAATATTTGCTTACTAATAAATCTTCCCGAGAAAACTTGTCTTTGTATAAAGTAGCCATTTTAAGTGCGTTTTTCTTCATTTTTGACGAGTCGGTCCCAATCAAACCTCCCTTTGGGCATAGTTGAACCTGAAATAGCTCGGGAGTTAGTACTATTTTAGCATGTTTCAGTCTATTTCAGACGTGGAATGGTCCCCTATTAGTGAAAAATAGTACATGTTAGATAGTTTTCAGGCGCATAGAAGAACAATTTTGGATTTTCAGAATTCTGTATCTTAACTCTGAGTGGCACCAAAAATAGGTCATACCACGATAGAGTGTAGAGTAACGCTGGTTCGATGAAAAGACATGAGGAGCTAAGTGATGCTACTAGTAGCTATAACACCAGTGTATGTTCATAAGAGTCAGCAGGTAGATAGTATAAGGAACAAGCCCATCCTCCCTCTTCTCCAAAAATTTCAGGTCGTTGTTTCTCTGATTTAGAGAATAATTTTTGAAGATTTTGAACTAGCTTATTTAAATTTATGAAGGTTAACCATGTATCCTTGGTTAATTATGTATCATAATGAGGCTATATACTATAGGTTTAGAGAAAATTAAGTAACCATAAAGGTCCGAAAAGAGCTCCCCCACATTTTTACTTCAGAGATTTTTCTTCAATACTATTCTTGAGGCATTAAAAAGACATAAGTAGAGATAGATGTAGCATTTAACCCAATCTTTCAGATCCATGATGAAGTACATATCCAACATCTGATGAGTTGCCGGAATGCTATCCTTTACTCATATCTTGGATGGATATCCTCAAATTCACCCTATTGTGAGGAGGAGAAGCTCTTTTTCACAAAATTTTAACTCCTGAGCGGCTAGAGTGTACTTCAGACCCCTCTCCTTAGACCTAGAAATAGATTACCGATATTTGAAATAAGATCCATGTCCAATTTTTGGGATGCCAAAATCTACTGTTTAACAGCACTGTCAAGCAAAAGAAGCCTCCAATATTAAAGAAAAATAGCATACAAACTTCATGTTGGTAGTGAATTTCTTCATTCTCTCGGATTCGCGAAGGATTTTCCAAATCTTTCACTTAAGAAGTTTATTTCTCAATTAGAAAAGATGGCCGACATCGCAATGAAGACTCCTTGTTACTCAGCACTGAGATTAGCTCTGAAGGAAAAAGAGTTCTCCGTTATAAATCAAAGATTTTTGTATTTTTTGATAGTTTTCCTTGTTCGTTCCTTCATTTCTGGACGAGAGAATCAGGAACAAACAATTAAATATTGCATTAAAATGCAAAGATGGCAGTGGTTAATGCCCAATTTATAGCTCTAAAGCAACAAAACTAGGAGATTTTCACTCACAACGTTAATGTAGCCATTATGCACTGATTCCTGATGCATTCTGCACAAAGAAATGCAGATAGATTTTTCCTGAGGAACAAAATTGATCCGAGTTGGATTTGCTCTGTATTTCTTCCATCCGGACCCAAAACTTTAATGATTTTAATCCAATGAGGGGTATATAGAAGGGGTTTTCAGCTAATTCAATTAGGAGCATCTTGGCTTATAATCCTGCTTTATATTAATCAAATCTTAGCTTTTAGAGATACCAGAATGAACGCCCTTCCATATTTTATTCAGTTTAGTACTATCTTGACTAACTAAGGCTATTTCTTGTTGCTAAAGTTTTGATCAACTCTTCCTTTAAGTCCCTTCCAAATTAGGACTCTAAAGGCTAAGACCTGGACGAAATTTCAAGAGGGAACAATTAGGCAGATTTTGAACCTGGCAGATCGGAATGAATGAAGCAAACACTCAGATCTGGCAGAAATCTATGCCAAAAATCTCTCCCCTAACACCCCTCCAAGAAATAAGGCATATCTATGGTTTATCCAGTCTATCCCATCAGTGGTTAGAACCTCTGGTCAAACGGAGCTTAGAATTTAACTGCGAAAATTCAGCATTCTCTCCATTTGTACTGTCTTTAAACTTAAAATAATACGATTTTAAGACTGGTTCATATTTTTCTTACTCTTTTTCAATGACTGGGAGACTTATGGGGTTTTGGGGTTTTGGGGTTTTGGGGG